TCACCTGAATGGGGTGGGAAGGGAGAAAATGGGGGAACCCCGTGTCCAAGTGGCTGGAGTGTCCTTCGACCCCGCACCGCCCCAAAGCCTGGAACAGCAATTGCTTGTTGGGTCATTAACTTTATGCAGCTCTGGGGCCAGACTCTGCCTTCTTTCACCTTGGCTTCAGCAAGAAAACGTCAAGAGGGAGGGAAGACTTGGAGACAGTGTGCCCTGACAAAAGGATACAGATCCTTGCTGCTGGGTCATGACAGCTTTGGGGGTGTAATGTAGTCATTATTGTGTAAATCAAATATACACTTAAGTCTGGACAGCAGGTAGCTCAATACTGGAGAATTCAGACCAAAAAAAACCCCGAAAAAAGACAGGAAGAGGAATCATCAAAAATAAGCGTGGGGGCTTCCCTGGTGGCGCAGTGGTTGAGAGTTCTCCTGCCGATGCAGGGGACACGGGTTCGTGCCCCGGTCTGGGAGGATCCCACATGCTGTGGAGCGGCTGGGCCTGTGAGCCATGGCCGCTGAGCCTGCGCGTCCGGAGCCTGTGCTGCGCAACGGGAGAGGCCCAAACACTGAGAGCCCCCGGACCCCAAAAAAAAAAAAAAAAAAAAAAGCGTGGGTTCTCCGGGGCCTCAGACTGCCTCCTGCCATGGTCTAGGTCCTCAGCGCCCCCTCCTCTCATTCTGTCCCCTCTTTTCTCTTGTTACCATTTTCTGGGCATCCTCCATGGCCATGAAGCTGCCACTGTAGGGTCTAGGGCATTACTCTGAGCCCCCTGTGCCTGGTACAGGCAGCCTGGGGCCCAGCAGGGAGAAACTCCATCAGTATTTTTTTTTTGCGGTACGCGGGCCTCTCACTGTTGTGGCCTCTCCCATTGCGGAGCACAGGCTCCGGACGCGCAGGCTCAGTGGCCATGGCTCACGGGCCCAGCCGCTCCGCGGCATGTGAGATCTTCCCAGACCGGGGCACGAACTCGTGTCCCCTGCATCGGCAGGCGGACTCTCAACCACTGCGCCACCAGGGAAGCCCCATCAGTATTTTTTGATAGAGCTAAGTAAGATTCATATGGCTTTGCAGGATTTGACTGTGAACTTTTAATCCAACACCCCAGGTGACCCTTAAGCTCTTACTGCGTTTCCCTGTAGCTATCTTCTGAGATACATTTGCCCGGACTATTAATTGCTTTTTCCGCTTTGGTTTATTCGATTAGAAGCTCTGTTCTTGACCTCCCCTCTCCTTGGGAGAAGTTCTTGCTTTGTCTCCATAAAACATTGCTGTTGGGCCTTTTCCTGGTTTATTACTTTGCATGAGTACCTGGCAGTTTACATCTGAGCTCTCCTTTTATTTCCTTAACGTATAATATTGCCTCCCTCTAGGAGGGCCTGGTGCGTGCTAAGGGCTTATTGGCCTCTTCTTTTTTACGTTGGGAGGTAAGGGTTTGGATTTATCGTCCTAGCTTAGTGATAAGCGGCACAGAGAATTTTAAATGTTTGTTTTAAGCCACATGATTAGCAGGGGCAAAATGAACCAAGGATCCAGAAACGGATGAGAGAGGGAGAAGGTGAATGAACTTCTGATGTCTTCTGCCCTTTGGTGTCTTACTCATCCAAGACTGATTGGTGTTTGGCGTGGCGTTTCTCTGTGAAGGGATAGAAAGGATGACATGAGCTAAGAGAGGGGCATTCAACAGGAAAGGGGTAGAGGGATAAAATGCCATGATGATTATGATGCTGGATTTACTGAAGTTGCAGGTATACTTTTCGCCACAAAACCTACTTTGGTAGAAGAATTACAAATCCCTTGCATTGTGGGTTTTCAGGTGGATGACAAAGCTGCCAGTCATTTTTCATCCTAGGTTGGTGTGGGACTCACTCATCCACAGGCTTTTCGTGTCAATGCATGTGATTCTCCGCAGTAAGGAAGGAGAGGAATTGAACTATTGCAGCAGGCTGGCTAGTCTGGGACATTAGGGAATAAAATGGGGGGAGGTTCCTCAGGTTCTGGTCTCTGTAGGGTCCCGGGCGGGAAGGTAGGTTTGATCAAGGGGGTTGAATAGAGCCTTTTGATTCCATCCCTAGCACAGGGCCGGCATTCATTGTAGACAAGGGCCTGTTGGTAAGGACATTTCATTCCTCTTGGAGTCCTTGAGGATTGCAAGGGCTCTGGGCTTCTCAGTCTTAGAGAGAGAAGGGCAGAAAAGTGGAGCAGCTTTTCAGAGCATTCTGGAATAAGAGATGAGACCAGGGTCTGGGTATGGAGTAGAAAGATGCTCGAGATAGGACCCCTCCCACTTGCATTCATAGCCGGACCCCGAGTCCATCTGTCTTTTGCAGGTTTCCTGCCCTTGACTGTACAGTCCGCACCTAGGAGTTACCAGGGAGGGACAGGTGTTAGAGTGCATCCTGGGTGTATACATAGTGGGACCCTGGGATCCAGGAAGTAACAAGAGGGCAAACACCAGGTCCCTGGAGGCAAACACCCTAATTTTGCTGGGTAACTCTGTGGAGGCACCGAATGGAAGGTGCTGGGCTCAGAGTACCTTTCTCTCTCTTGGGGAATGTGGTCTAGCGTTTGATGGTCAAATCCTCAGTTCAAATCCTTGCCCGACCACAACTAGATCCTTGACCTTGAGCAAGTCATTTAAGCTTGCAGATACTCAGCTGACCTGCAGAATGGGCTCAGGTTGGGATGGGGAGCACCCTCCTGGGCATTTGTGAGGATTAAATCAGCTCATGCAGGAGAAGCGCTCAGCCCCAGCGCCGGCCATAACATCAGCCAGGAGGGAGTGAACTTGTAGTTACAGTTTGCACGTGTCGAGCTCCTTCAGGTGCCCCCAGATGCAGGAGGAAGGAGTCCACCTCCCCCTCAGAACACAGGGCAAGTCTTTTGTTTTGGGCCGTGCGGGGTCTTAGTTCCCTGGACCAGGGATTGAACACACGTCCCCTGCAGTGGAAGCACGGAGCATGGAGTCTTAACCACTGCACCACCAGGGAAGTCCCCAGGGCGAGTCTTAAGTGCCTTCCACGAAACCCTGGTGTCAGTCACTGGGGAATGTATTAATGCCGGTTTGGGTAAGGCACAGCTGTGAGTAAACACCTGACCTTCCCCTCTTCCCCTGACAGCACCTCCAGGACCTCAGCTGCTCTTTCCTGTTCCTTCTACACGCGTGGTTTTTACAACAGACTGGATTGGCCAGATAATTCAGTTAATGGAGATACACTTGTACCTGTTGGTTGCTACGCAGCAAAACAGACAAAGACATGAGCCCCCAAACAGAGCTCATGTCTTCTCCCCAGATTGCTAGTCATTTAATTGGATGGAGATCATTTGATTCGTGAGTGATAATTTCCATCTGCCCTGCAATCAGTCTTTGAACTTTTTAGCCACCACCCACTGCGTGTGTGAGACAATTAACATGCGAGCTCTCTGGAAGGCAGCGGCGGGTGCTAAATTGGGCAGCTGACAGACGTTGTGCAATTCAAACCATCACATGCACCGATGAGGTGGAGAAGGGAGAGACCAAGGGGAATCATCGGGAAAGAGTTTGAAGGGAGTACAGCAACGCAAATGAAAAAATCTTCTGTTAGACTCCAAAAACTCCTGAGGACCAGACCCCAGGAGAGCAGAACTCCGAGGCAGATCCTTATATTGAATCGGGAAGATAAGGATCTTATCAGCGCTTCTCAAACTGGATTCAGGAGGTCTGGGGCAGGGCTGAGGAGTATTTCTAACAAGCTCCCCGGTGATCCTCCTGCTGCTGGTCTGAGGACCACCCTTGGTGTGGCCAGGTCTTAGATGATAGATTAGGCATTACCTACAGATCTGTATCATGTGATTAAAGGTGTTAGTTACAAGGGAGAAGGAACTGTGGGTGCACGGGACTAATATAAACGCCTTGCCAAACGTTCCCCGCGGTGGTGTAGTGGCATCGCATGGCCTGTGTTCAAATCCCACCTCTGTCGCTTCTTAGGTGGGCGACTTTGGTGTCTTAGTCTGTTTGGGCCACTCTCACAGAACACCACAGACTGGGTAGCTTATACAGAGCAAATTTATTTCTCATAGTTTTGGAGGCTGGAAGTCTGAGATCAGGGTACCAGCATGGTCAGATGAGGGCCCTCATCTGATGGAAGGGGCTGGGGATCTTTCTGGAGCCCCTTTTGTGAGGGTGCTAATTCTCTTCCTGAGAGTTCCACCGTATGATTTAGGCACCTCTAAAGGCCCCACCTCCTAATACCATTATCTTTGGGAGTTAGGATTTCAACCCATGAATTTTGGAGGGAAACAAACATTCACACCATAAAACTTGGGCAGTCATTAACCCTCTCAGAGTCTCATTGCCCACCTGCAAATTGGGGATGGTAATTAGTATCCACCTTTATTTATTTATTAAGTTAAAAAAATAGAAGTATATACGTTATTTTCAGATTCTTTTCCATTATAGGTTATTGCAAGATATTGACTGTAGTCCCCTGTGCTATACAATAGGTCCTTGTTGTTTTATCTGTTTTATATGTAGTAGTGTGTATCTGTTAATCCTAAACTCCTAATTTATCCCCTCCCCCACTTTCCCCTTTGGTAACCATACATTTGTTTTCTATGTCTGTGAATCTATTTCGGTTTTGTAAATAAGTTCATTTGTATCATTTGTGTTTTTTTAGATTCCACATATAAGTGATATCAAATGATATTTATCTGACACTTCACTTAGCATGATAACCTCTAGGTCCATGCATGTTGCCGCAAATGGCATTATTTCATTCTTCGTTATGGCTGAGTAACCCACCTTTAAAAATGTGTGTGTGGGGGCTTCCCTGGTGGCGCAGTGGTTGAGAATCTGCCTGCTAATGCAGGGGACATGGGTTCGAGCCCTGGTCTGGGAGGATCCCACATGCCGCAGAGCAACTAGGCCCGTGAGCCACAAACTACTGAGCCTGCGCGTCTGGAGCCTGTGCTCCACAACAAGAGAGGCCGCGATAGTGAGAGGCCCGCTCACCGCGATGAAGAGTGGCCCCCGCTTGCCACAACTAGAGAAAGCCCTCGCACAGAAACTAAGACCCAACACAGCAAAAATAAATAAATTAATTAATAATAAAAAAGTGTGTGTGCGTTTAGGAATAAAAGAGCAAATCTGTGTAAATGCTTACAGCAGCTCCTGGCCCATACAAAGCAGCCAACAAGGTCCTTTCCATTTTTCATCTGGGAGCACCTCTACTTAATTGGACTTGACCAGTGAGACTTTCGGCCTGTGGCCCTCTGTCCACAGCACGTATTTCAGAACTGGGAAGCTGGCCTCCTCTCACCTGGTTCATGGCAGGGCTACCTTGATCCCTTCTGGGGATTCTGGCCACCATCAGCACATGGGACCCATTAGGACCTCTAACCCCTTTCTCTGTTTCAGGAACTGATGGGAAAAGCCAAAAAGAAGGGCTGTGACTGAATGGATGAGGATTTATGGGAAGAAAAAGAAAATCCTTGTAAGGAGAGAGAAAAAATATCACTGGGCAGATTCATGAATTAAAAGTGGTAAAACGCTTTTGGGCTCAACCTAGTGTTTTTGAGCTCAGAAAGCCCCTCGGTTGCTTTGCTGTAGGGCAGAGACTTGGTCATAGTAACTTGGTGTTTAACTCTAGGAATTGCAGGTCTGTTCCTGGGGCCAGGTGCCCAGCAGTCCCGGCTTCTACTTACACCCTTGGGGGTGTTGGCTGAATATTAAAGTTGGATCAGGAAAGTTCCCTTCAGATACAGGAAATAAAAAAGCAACAAGATGGGGCCTCAGTGGTTCTTAAAAATGAGCCACTTCCCGTCCCACTGTAACTGCTGCGTGTCCTGGAGCAAATTACTCTTGAGCCTCAGTTTTCTCATCTGTAAGATAGAGGCTCTCAGGCTTCCTCGCAGTGTGGCTTGTGCGGGGGTGAAGGAGGCGGTGCACGCGTGTTGCGTGCTCTCCGTAAACGTCAGCTGTGTCTTTCTGGCTCTTTTGAGTACCTTCGACTGAGCGCACCGTCAGGAAATGGTTCCGGCCCTCTGGCTCTCTTCCCTGGGGATACCCCATACACTCAGGGCAGCATCCTCGCAATCAGGTCTGGCTGCCGGAGAGTCAGCGGCTGGGAAGGAACCTCTCCAACGGGCTCGCGCTCGCACCGCATGCAGTTCTGCAGCTGTGGAAAGAGCCTCACGTGTGCGTCTCATTTCCCACGACTGCCCCTGGCTGGAGGAGCCCCGCCCCACCCGACGCCATCTGACAGTGCTAACGTAATTAGCGGCAGGTTTCCGCAGCACTTAAAGACAGTCAGGCCCCGCGCGCTGCCTTCATTCTTGCCGAGTGCCACGCTGGAGGTGGGACGCGGCCGCTGTGTGCCCGGAGGCCCTGCTGGGGCCCCGTGTGTGCTTTATGCTGTTTGGATCGCACGGAGCAGCCTGTGGACTCTCGGTAGGATTTGGTTTCTTTCTCTTTGGAGTCAGTAGCACCTCTGGGTCGGGAGGAGGCCTGAGTCACTGACAAAGAGGGTAAAATCCCGGAATTGGGGGCCTTTTGAAATGGTCTGGTCTAGTGCTTCCTAAAAACCAGTTCAGGGATGAAGTGCATTAGAATATCTTGAGGAGCTTATTAGAGAAGCTGATTCCAGGGCCCGGCGGAGGTGGGGGGCCTTGTGGGGAGGGCACCACCTACTCTGTATTTTTATTTACTTTTTTATAAATTTATTTATTTTTGGCTGCGTTGGGTCTTCGTTGCTGTGTGCGGGCTTTCTCTAGTTGCGGCGAGCGGGGGCTACTCTTCATTGCGGTGCACGGGCTTCTCACTGCAGTGGCTTCTCTTGTTGCGGAGCGCAGGCTCTCAGCTCGCGGGCTTCAGTAGTTGTAGCACGCGGGCTCAGTAGCTGTGGCTCGCGGGCCCTAGAGCGCAGGCTCAGTAGTTGTGGCGCACGGGCTTGGTTGCTCCGCGGCATGTGGGATCTTCCCGGACCAGGGCTCGAACCCGTGTCCCCTGCACTGGCAGGCGGATTCTTAACCACTGCGCCACCAGGGAAGCCCCTAATCTGTATTTTTCAAAAGAACTTCCAGGTGATTCTCATACGCAGCGAGGTTTGGAGGAGCCCTGCTCTAGGTCAGCTTTTTTTGGTGGTGGGGCTGAATGCAGAGGTGCATGTCTGATTCTGTCACTCCCAGCTTCACAGGGCGGGCAGTGGCAGACCTAGAACCCAGTCCTTGGAACCCAGAGGTTCTTTTTTGGCTTCCAGACCCCTAGGAGACAGACAGGCCTCTCATTTGTGCATACAAACCTCTACTCCATGCCAGAAATTCAGCCCAGCAGAAAAGCACTCTCATCTAGCCAGTGGTTCTCAGCTGGGGGTTCTTTTGCTCTCCCAGGGGCCATTGGATACAGCTGTAGATATTTTTGGTCATCATCACTTGGGGAGGAAGGGGAGTTATTACTGGCATCTAGTGGGTAGAAACCAGGGATGCTGCTAAACGTCCTACACTGCACAGGACAGAACCCCACAGCAAAGAATTATTCAGCCCCAAATGTCAGGCGCGCTGAGGCTGAGAAACCGTGGTTTAGACAAATGCTGCTCTGACTTAACTGTGTAGGTCCTGATTCAGTAGGTCTGGGGAGCGGCCTGAGATTGTGCATTTCTAATAAGCTCCTGGTCCAGGTTGATGCTGCCCTCCTGGGGACCACTCTTTGTATAGAAAGTGTTTTTACAGCAGTTGATTTCAGAGTGACGCTGATGTGGGTTGGAATCACAGCTCTGCTACTTAATTAGCTGTGTGACCTTGGGCAAGTTACTCAGCCTCTAAACCTTTAGGTTCATTCATCTGTAAATTGGGGAGAGATATTACTTGGGCTCAAATGAGATGATATCTGTAAAGAAGTTGGCCTTGGCAAGCAGTCAGTAAGTGCAGCTGTTACTTTCATTATTACCGTTGTTATTATTTGCTTAGCAATTCAGCTCTGTTTTTGCAGCGTTTCATTATTTACCTACTTTGTGCCTAATGCTTTGCTAAAATACGATTAGTTGGAAGGAGGCACAAATGATTATGTCTGTGATGGTGAATTATAAAGACAGCTAGTGTCAGTTTTCCTTGTAAGTCACTCCACCCTCTGGCACTGGGTGGGAAATTGAGGCTGGAATAGATGTAAAGTCAAGTGTTCTTCACATCCATGGAACACAGTTATACTACACTCGCTCATCAAAAGTGAGTATGGAGAGAATTTCCTAAAAATAAGGTGCCTGTTTTCTGAGTTTTCATTCTAATGACGGTTTTATGGGTAATAGGGAAACATGACAAGTGAACATAGATACCCAGTATCATCAGCTTTTGGAAATACCGAAGTCACCTAGCGTATGAGGATTTCAGAGCAGGTTTAGAGCATGGGGTTGATCTTTGTTCAAAACCAACATTACCACGTATTAGCCATGTGACCTGGGAATTATTTAATATCTCAAAGCCTCAGTTTCTTCATCTCTAAAATGGGAGAAAAATTGTGCCCACTTCTAGAGTTGAAATGAGACTGATGTGAGATGAAGCATAAATTTTATACCTGCTGACTGTGGACCAGTATCGTTCTAGGCCTGCAACTGAAGGTTGTCACTAGGAAGACTGTTTTCAAGAGTTAGTGCATTAGAATCATGTGGGAAACTTACTATGGATGAATACAGCTTCTAAGGCCTCCCTCAGGTCGTCTAATTCATTAGGGCCAAGCTCAGGAACCTGCATTTCAAATAAGCAGCCCAGAGGCTTCTGTACTGGTGTGCCACTTAGAGGAACGTAGTCCTAGTGCTGAGGTCAGAGTGGTCACCTTTGGTACCATGGTGTTCGGCAGAGATGAACACACAGGAAACCCGGCCAGGCGGAGGGGAAAGAGGACACAGTAACCCGTGCGGGTTGTTCTGACAGACTTTTTATTGTGGCAGAGGGTTCTGCTTTCTTTGCCAAGCCGTCGTTCATCACTTGGAAAGAGGAGGCAGAGTGGGGAGGGAAGAGGGGACAAATACAGCTGGCTGCCAGAACAGTTGACTTCCAAATGGGAGAACCTCAAAGCCAGGCTTAAGCACTCCGGAAGCAAGAAGTGGAGGTAAGGGAGGTGAGAGCAGAGGCAGGTGCTGGAGGCATTTGTGCAGGTTTCCTGGTAAAGGTGAAAAGATGATGCTGGAAAGCCTGGCAGGGGGTGAGCATGGGGAAGAGTGGAGAGGAAGCCCAGGTGTGGGTGTCACCCAACCAAACTCGGATCTGCTTGCCCGACACACAGCAAAGCCAATCCGCTGACACCGGTGGTGGTGAAGGAAAACACAGTGTTTACGGCAGGGTGCCAAGAAAGGAAAATGAGTAGCTTGTGCTCCAAAGACTCGAGTTCCCCGATGGCTTCCAGGGAAGGGTTTTTAAAGGCAACATTTAGGGTGAGGGCTGCAGCTTGTGGACCTTCTTCTGACTGATTGGTGATCAGGTAACAGGGTGATGTTTCGGGAATCTCCATCATCAACCTTGTTCCAACCAGTCTGGGGTCTCCGTGCTTGCGGTCAGCAAGTAGTCATCGTGTTCCACCGCGTAGGGGTCTTGGTTTCTGCAGAACAACTCAAAGATACGCATCCGATTGTTGTCCATATCCCTTCAGGAGGAGCTGTGACTCTCTTGTCCTGACCATTAACTGCTTGAGTCTGCTCTTTGGAACTCAGACGGCCAAACAAAAAGCGGGGAGCCGTGGAGGGGCTTTTGTACCCAGGACGGCCCTGCAGGATCCTACTTGGTTTCATTCCCCCCTTTTCTTTGATACTCCTCAATCCTGAGGGGAACAGAGATGAACAAGAAAGGGAATAAAGTTTTGGATAGAGAGGTTAATCGTAAACTCAGCAGGGGAACTCGGTTTTAGGGGGACTCGCTTTCACTGGCTCCGAGGAGGCATCTTTGGAGGAAAAGGAGCTGAGCTGTGACAGTGCAGTGCAGGGAAAGGCAGGGAGAGCTCAGGTGTTGCGGAGCTCCCGGGGAGAGCAGGTGGTCCCCATCACTGTCAGCACTAAATCAATGACTAGAGGGAGGTGAATGCCACTAATTAGCACGATACCCAGGATCCCTCCTCCCAGCCTGGAGGCCCCACCTGGAGCCCAGGCAGAGCGCTTTGCCTTCTGATAGATTCAACTCTCACTGCTTTATGGAGAGAAGTTATGGTGAATGAAATGGATAAGAGCAAAGACTATAGAGCCATTGCCTGCTTTCAAAATTCGGTATTGCCACATACCAGCTGTGTAACCTTGATGAAGTTACTTCACTTCTCTTTGCCCCCGTTTCTCCATCTGTAAAACGGGGATGATGACAGTAGTACTCCACCAGTTATTGCTGTAATAACGCTGCCTAGCAAACGACCACTAAGCTTCAGTAGCACACGGTAATAACCGTTTATTGTTCACGCATCTGGTGGTTCAGAGGGCCCTGTGAGCATAGCTGGCCTTGCTCACGTGTCTGAGGGTCACTGATCCAGAATGGCCTTGGCTGGGATGAGTGAGGTAGTTGGACTCAGCTCCACATGTGTCTCTCATCCCCTGGCAAGGTTGCCAAGGCAAGTTCTCGTGGATATGACAGAGGTGCAAGAGCCGGTGAGCCAGTCATACAGGTGCTTTTAAATCCACTGTGGGATGTCAGCTCACATCCCATTGACCAAAGCAAGTCCCCTGGCCGAGCTCAGAGTCAGAACGTCGGGCAGAATGTGTTGCCCAGAGTGGCATGCAGACTTCCACGGCCAAAGGAGTACCTCAGGGTGCGGTGAAGAAACGGGGCCATTTTGGTGACTTACACAATTACTAACCTCACAGTTGCTTACACAGGCAAACCCTCGCTCACCCAATTATCATTCTTATGACATAGGATATATGATTTTTGTGTGTGTGTGTGGATATGATGATCATGTGAGAAAATGTGAGGGTGGCAGTGGAAAGGATCTCCTGTGATTGTTCATTTGATGGGACAGTCCTTCAAATAGCCGACCTACCATCACCACCACCACCTAAGGCACAACCAGAATTATCATTGTCACCCTTCCTGCCCTTTGCCAGATCATCTCCTCTTGGATAACGTTCCTCACCAGCTTCCCCCACACAAGTAATAGTACTCTACTATTTTGTGTTTTCTACATGCTTCTATTCTATCACAGTGTGTTTGAAGTCCAGTATTTGTTGATGGGTGTCTGTTTGCCCCTCTTTAAGAGGGTAGGAAATATGTCTCTGTGCCTTAGTATCTAGAAGAGAACCTTTCATATGCCATCAGTTAATACCAGTTGAGGAACTATTGACAGGAGTTTTACATCACTCTTGGGATACCCTTGTTCTAAGACCAAAGACTGTGGGAGAAGGCCCCCATGCTGCTATGGTTTCAGAGGCGCATAATAAGAGTAGCATTCACAGGTGACACTGGGTTCTGTGGATAGGCACATTTTAG